GGGACCCCAGGGCCGCCCCTCGGCACGGAGCCTCCACAGGTCAGGGTGTTACCAGCCGTTCATGTTTTGGTCTCTGTACAGCATCTTCTTCCCCAGCTCCTTGGGCTGGATCCTGCGGGGGAACTCGAGGTGGGTGAACTCCTTGCCCAGCAGCTCGGGCCTCAGGAACGCCTGCGGGACGAAGCGATGGCTCAGCCGTGGGGCTGGGAGAGTGGGATCCACACAGCATCGCCTGCCCCACCAGCACCTCGCTGGGCACCGCCACCACAGCATGGCACCTGCCAGCCATGGGACCTTGGCCACGGCATTTTGTGGTGGGGACAGCATCAGCTGCTCTGCTGCAACTGGAACGGGTGGTGGTGAAGCCGCTGCAAACCACCTGTCTGTGCTTGCCCAGAGGGGAGACGAGCTGGGGACAGCCATGCCAACACCCAGCAAGAAGGTGAAGCTTTTGCATGGAGAGTTTTGGGAAATGAGGATCTCCAAAAGGGATCAAAACCCAGCAAATTCCAGGAGAAGCTGCAATTTGCCCAGGAGGAGTCACAGCCACAAACCTGCCGGGACCCCAGGCTCAGCACAGGGCACAGCACCTGCCCCCAAGGAGCCGATGGCTCTTTTCAGAAACTGTCCTGGCTGCAGCTGTGACGAGGGATGAGAAGCAGCACAGCAGCCCCAGGGCACAGCGTGCAGGGGACTGGGAATAGGGACAGCGCTGGAAAATGCAGATGGAGGAAGAAAGGGGGAGAGCCCTCAGGAACCCGGGAGGGTTCGGTGCAGAGGCATGCAGAGCCCCGTCCCGCTGCGGGGGGGCCCTGACCACGGCCTGGGCACCATGCAGGCAAGCAAGCGTGCGCCTGGCCCCCTGCCTGCACCCTGCCCATCGCAGCCAGCTGGAGACAATCCTGCTCACAGCAGTTTCCTCCTCTCGGTCATTCAAAAATAGATTCAAGAAAAAAAATGCCTCAGTGTTTTTCCAAGTACATTGCAAGCCAGAAGATCACATCCAGCAAGACCTCCTCCAACACAAACGCCTCCTCCTCTCTGCTGCCGTCAGAGAGGTCTTTATAACCTTAAAAAGTCTCCCTGTGTGGCACAGAGGGGTTTGTCCAGGCCAGGCAGGAGAGGGAGCTTTCAGGAACAAAGCTACAAACCCGCTGGCACACATCAGCTCCCTGCCTCCCCAGGGAGCAGCTGGGGAAGAAAGTAGGACTCGCCGCGAGCACTGCGGCTCCTTCGACCGTGCAAAGGAGCACGACGGGTGGAGGGAGCAGAGCCGTGCTCCTCCCGGGCACTGCGCAAGCCAGCCCGGTGCTCCTGCAGCAGCAGGCGGGTGCCCACACCAGCAGGCGATGCTCCCTGTTCCCCAGCCAGGAGCCGGACAAGATGGACCAAACCGGCCCCATGCCAAGAGCCCACGATCCCAGGTCCTGGCCAGGCTCGCAGGCACAGCCCCTCATGCTGACCCCACAGCAAACCAGGGCTCCACCAGCCACGAGATGCCCCACGCCAGCGAGGCAGGGCAGCTCCCCACGTCCCAGCGCCTCTCCCCAGCCCAGTGAGCTGGCTGGGATGGACAAGTGCCACCAGCACGTCCCAGCCGTGAGGCTGCCCTTATCCCCTGGGACTGCACCAAGAAGGCAGCCTGGCAGGCAGCACAGGGGGCTGGGAAGGGGCCGGGAGGTGGTTCATCAGCAATGAGGTTAGAAGAAAGTTCTTTCTTACTAAAAACTGCAGCCTCTGCCTCTCTGTCTCTGGAGTAAACTCCCTGGACATTGGAATGATTTCCCCATTACGGATGATAATGGCCCTGCAATGAAACATGGAAGGGTGAGATTAGAAAGGAAGAGAGATGTGGGGGAGCTATGCCCGGCTCTCCAGGGCCGATTCCCTGCACGGCTGCCCAGGCAGTGCAACCCCCTCCCCTCCGCTGCCTGCCCTCTTCCCGGCCCTGAGCTGGGGGCTGCTTGCTGGCTCCGCTGCAGCTAACCCCCCCAGCCCCTGGGCAGGCAGGGCATGCCTCCCTCCGGGACAGGGAGGAAGAGAACATGGAAGAGAAGCGTGGGGCAGAGGGGAATGAAGCAGAGCAAACCAAAGGACAGGATACGGTTAGAAAAGGAGCAGCACAAAGGTGACGAACCCTCCTTTAGAGGGGAGCCATGCACGGGACAGGCAGAAATCACCAGCAGCAGGACACAGGTGCAAGTGCCCGGCCCACACCAACACTGTGGCTCACTGCTGGGGCCGGTCTGATTGTTTGATATGTTAAAAAAATAGAAGTCTGATTTGAGATGCTTCTGGATGTCATGGGGGGGTGGAGGATCTCCAGCACTGGTGGCTGCCCTGCCTAGGGCTGCGGGTCTCCTCCAGGGATGCAGGGCCTGACGGAGCCCAGCGCTGGCAGCATCCGATGCCCGAGGAGGGAACACAGACCCTCGCTCAGCAGCGTGGTTACGGCCTCGGGACCCCATGTGTGCTGCCATCCCGCGTGGCCGGCATCTGGCCACTGCTGTCATGGAGGGGCCCTGCACCCAAAAGCAGAGGCATGAAGGCTCTTCTCCTCCTCCTCCTCTGTCCCAGAGCTGGAAGCACATCCTCCAGCCTCAGACAATTTACCAGAGCCTGTATTTGCTGGCCTGACACTTCTGAGGACAAGCTAACCCTGCAGTAAATAGAGGGCAATTCAAACAAGCTTCACCCTCAGCATAAGGCGGACTTGCCTTCCTGCTATTGCTTGGGGGGTATGAACACACCCAGGCGCAATTACAATAACGCACCCAAGGAAATGCATGGATCAGTCAAAATCCTTGGGCTCCAAGCTCCCACAGGACTCGTCTGCACATAGATTTACATGTCCTTCTTCTGAAACAGTTCACTGGTATGAAGTGTGCCCTAAAATGACTTCTTGCACATTTTTGAAAGCTTTGGTGAGGGCAATTTTCACTCCCCAACTCACAGCCCAGGCCAGCGCTGGCAGCAGGGGCTGGGATGTGATCCAGAGCCATCTGAGAAGCAGACAGGATGCTGCTGGGAAGGGAGTAAGTCCCAGATTTTGGGAGGTGATTCTGCAGCCCTCTCTGTGCACCAGCAAACACAGAGATCACAGCAGGGCACGCTGTCCCCAGGGTGTGCAGGTGGGCAAGGGGTGGCTCTGCCTGGTCCTGCTGCCTCTGCCCTCTCCAAGACAGCCCAGCTTCAGGGATGCCTCCACCACTGCCCTGCTCTACCGGGGTGCTCCCCGATCACCAGGCAAAAGGCGGGGGCTGCCTGGCAGGGCCATACCTGCTGTCGCCGGCATTGGCCACGTAGAACTTGCCCATGAGGTAGACGGCAGCCAGGGCGCAGCAGCCCCCAGACAGGTGCTGGGACGCTCGCTCCCGCTCGATCTGGTCGTCCTGGGGAGACAGAGAGCAGCTCCAGGCAGGGCAGACGGGTGGCCCCACGCCAGCAAGCAAAGCTGCAAGCAGCCCAAAATAGCGCCTGGCTGCTCCAGCAGCACCTTGGCTGCTGGCCGAGCCCTGGCTCCAGGTGGGAAGCAGCGGCCAGCCAGGACCCAGGCACCTTTCCCCACACAGCCCAGGGGCAGCTGCAGGGCTGGGGCGGGGCAAGGGTCCTGCGGGCCAGCCAGGGACACGGCTTCACCGGGGCAGTGGAGAGGGCAGGAAAGAGCGAGACAGGAGGGGAGCAGCTGGGACTGCTGGAATGAAGCGCAATGAAGCCCTCTGCACCCACACAGGTCCAGAGCCCAAAGCTTCTGTGTCCTGAACCCCCCCAAATACGGGAGACCATCACAGTGCCCTCTCCGAGACTGTGCTGCCAGGAACTCTTGCTGCAGAGCTGCCTTTTGCCAGAGGGGAGAAGCCAATGTTGACATGGACAACAAAGAGATGCTCCCAGGGGATACCTGGGCATCCCCGCAGCCAGGGGCTCGCTCACCATGTGCTTAAAGGCGTTCTCGATGGCGCCGATCACCAGGCTCTCATGAGAGACAGCTTTCTCCAGGTGAAACCGTGGCACAGCATCATTGGGGACCTCCCCAACGTCCTCTGCAAGGGGCACCCGGCTCGGCTCCACAGGGCTGGTCCTCACATCGTGCAGGAGGCAGATGGGAGGCGGAGCAGGGTCCTGCAGGATGTCCACGAGGTCCCGGAGCTGCTCACAGATGTGCAGGTGGAGCCTCTTGGATGCCATGACAGCAGCACCGCTGCCCGCATGGCCGTCAAACAAGGCCCAGTAGTGGAAATAAAAACCCTTCCTGCCCTGCGGGGAGAGACAGGAAGGTTTAGCCAGCCTGTGAAGAAGCAGATGAGACGGGGAATTCAGAGCAGCTGGGGTCACCAGCTGAGGACAGCAACACAGGGCTTTGCCTCCAGCTTGCAGGTCCCAGCCCAGCACAGGCAGGACCGACGTGGGCAGCTGATCAAGGGTGTCTGGGCAAGGACTGGTGTGGGCAGCTGATCAAGGGTGACTGGACACGGCCGGCCCCTGGCTCGAGCCCAGCCCTGCATCAGACACCTCG